TTGGATAGCACATATAATTAGAGCCAATATCTTCTTCCATTGAATTCACGAGCCACGTCATCACCATGGAATTCTCGGCATCCCATGTAGCATAGGCCGGATCATCCTCTGCAGGAGCCTTCTTTTCACCAGTCAAATAGCCCATTTTCCCACGCCCTCTAATGTACATCCTAACCGACTGAGACCATCTCAGAAAATTGTCACCATTCAAACGAATTGTGATGATATGAACAGAATGAGATTCTGAGGAGGTAGCACTGATTTTTGAAACATCTGTGCTGCTAGGATTGTTCAGGGAGGATTGAGGGACAGTAGTGGAATCGGTCGAAGCGTTAGACATGGTTTTAGGGTGCAAGGATCAAGAGGAAAGGAAGAAAATAGGAATTCCGGCAAGAGATTCTTTCCCTGCTCTGATACCAAGTTGAAAAACAGGTTGCACGGAATAATATTTTCTGTCATTTGAGATTGTTCTTTTATAGAGAATTACAGCACCTAAGAAACCATTAGATCAGGAAACTAAATCACTGATTAAAGGAAAGAATAATTCCTAGTTAGAGCTTTCCTAAAATACACAGATTTATACCTAAAATAGCTAAATTACAGCTAGAGACTAATTTACAGCTAGTATGTATTTACAGCACATATTTTCCCTGATTTTCTAACACTTTTACTATCTCCACTCACACCTGTCTGATCTACTCTCACTGATTCCATGTATTTCTCTTAAGTTTCCTACTGATTCCAGTAAGCAATATTCATGTATTTAATGTTCAAATTTGTTGCTTTCAACATGTATCCAAGAATTCAACTACTCTATGTAGGTAGAGCTAGGAATTTTAGTTTCTATTCATGCTTTAATTCATTGTGCTTGAATTTGTGCAGGGGAGCTATTTTTTATTACAGATAGAAAAAGTGGGTTTTGGAATCTTCATAAATGGGTAGATATCATACTTTTATGTTTCTATTGTTGATTTCTCGCATACGTATAATCAGTCTTGATAAAGCTTCATTCCCTAATGTGATACTTCATACAATACAACACCTCTGGACATAATTCATCAACAGAATGCCAATATTTCAGTTTGTTAAACATTTACTGCATTGAATATTGTCAATAGCAATACAGTATTGTTTGACATCTATGAATTAGTTTATTGTGGCTTATCATATTATTACTCATGATTCATTGAGAGCTTTAAGTAGAGGATCATATTGACATTTAGATGTCATAAATAGAAGAGTGGTTTTATTTTTATTTTTATTTTTTGTAGTTAATATTTGGATTTCTTATGAAATATATTATGGCTACGGATTAGAGTTACTGAAGGGTTTGAAGCTTTATACTGGAGTTTATGTCATTAATATGCTAGATCGAAATCTTATGTGTACGAGTTATACTGACTAAAGAAATTGGCAGATAATTCTCAATCATGTAAGTTAAGAAAAATGTTCTCTCTGGTTTGTGTGAATTAAAATTGAAAGTCTACTTTAGATTATGGTATGAAGTACCTTGCATCTGAGTGAGAAATTATTTCGTGCCTGCCATTTCTAGAACCTGTTGTCTAGTCCAACGCCAAATAACTGGTGTCAATTGAGGTACATAAATCATTTCTTTCATTTTTGCCTTTTCCCTTTTCAAACAGGTTGAGTCTGACAACAAGGTGGTATCAGTTTATTCCTTGGATGCAGAATTTTCAAAACCACTGTGGGTTTTTGGTATAAATTCTTATGACCTGATTCAGAGTTACCAAGGAAAAAGATTGATTGCTTGCAGCTACAGGTGACATGAGAATCCAAGTCATGCATTCTTTACTTGCGATTTTTATTGATTTTGCCTGTAATCTGTGGTGACCATTTGTATATCCACGTTTGGATTTTCATGCAGGCAGAAAGGAAGGTCATATCTTGGAATTTTGGATGATGCTCAGAGCACCATGTCTTTAGTTGATATTCCTTTCACAGACATGGATAATATTGTACTCCTCAAAAACCTTATCCTAATTTACTGGTGGAATAAATCTATTAAGTTGGTGATCTCAGGGAAGATCTGAGAAAATTGTTTATATATGCCCCTTTCAGACTTCAGCAGAGCATTGTCTATATGTGGAGGGAGCATCTGCAATTCACCCATCATCTGTTGCAAAGGTGCTAAGCCACCTCATTATTCAGATTTATCCACTGCCTTGAATTCTATGTTGATTGCCACCAATGCTCACAACAGATATGATTTTCATTTTATTTGCTTAAATTTTCATTTTTCATTTTTTTTGGATGCAATTTCCTAAATTTTTCTTATGCCTTCTGTACTTTGTTTTTGTCAGGTGGTATTAGATGAGCATAAGTCAAAAGCAGTTGAATTCAAGATTATTTGGTCCTCTTCCCCTGATTGTTTAAAATACAAGTCATATTTCAGCCTACCTGAGTTAATTGAATTTCCTACTGAAGTTCCAGGCCAAATTGCCTATGCATACTTTTACCCACCGACTAATCCTGATTACCAAGCTGGTCAAGGGGAAAAGCCTCCATTGTTATTGAAAAGCCATGGTATGTTACAATTTGACATATTTAACGCACATCTTATACGTCTGCACCAAAAACATACCTTCAGTGCATCCTCTGATTTAGTTTTTCTGAGCATATTAATTCTGCTTTGAAGAAGTTGTCCGATTTATAGACAATGTAGCTAATGACTGGTGATTTTTTCTTTCAAAACTAAAAAATGATGTAGGTTTCATAGGAAAGAACTTTTGGCCTGAGATATGGGAGGGTTTCTGTGGAGAACATTTCCATGCATGAGATTTGTCCGTCATGTTGGGCATGTTCACTATATTTTTGTGGAACATGAGTAGTCACATCACAGTTAAGCTCTAATAAGCTGTTTGTTAGGTTCCTGAATTTTGGTAAAATATAATGTTTGATGTGGGGCAGATCCTTGTAGCTTTTTAAGAAGCAATAGAGGTTCCAGTTGTCCATCTTTATAAAAGGGTGAACTAGCCATGACTTACCTGCTGTTGGCAAATATGCAAATTGGAAATTATGGAGCTTATCTTATGATTGTTGCTTCAATGATTCCTAACTGTAAATACAGGATCATACATGTCTCCTGAAAGTGAATTATTTTAGTACTTTTTTGTATCTAGTTTTCTTCTCAAAGTATTTGTAAAATTAATTGTAGCTGAGATGACAGAAGGCTTGTTCTTGTTTTCTTTGGACCATCTTGGTCATTTTACCGGGCACGTGGAATCTAGCTGTGCCTTTACCTTTTGCATTCTCTTGAATGAATGAATAAGACATTACTTTGTAGTATAGAATAACGACAGTATTCTTCCTAAATGAATTGCAGGAGGCCCCACAGCCGAAACACGTGCAGCGTTGAATCTGAATATCCAATATTGGACTAGTCGGGGTTGGGGATTTGTTGATGTTAATTATGGTGGAAGCACTGGTTCGTTCTTATCCTTGTTGTAATTAGTAGTTTGATAGTTTTGTTGTTAAGAGGATTGCCATGTAGCAATAAAATAAAATAAAAGGATTGCATTATTCGAACCACCTCGTGGGCGCCTTCATGACAAAAGTCATAGTTTTTGCCTTCCAAAGATTGTAGGGTTTGGCGGAAGGCTCCAATTTTGAACTCAGGCTCACAAAGTGGGTTCGGAGGATTTCTGAATATATATATAAAAAAAAAGGATTGCATTGTTGCTTATTGCTATGTCCTTTTGTTGCACTCCACTTCTCAGCGTATATCCTATCAATTATCTCTTTATTTTTAATTATGGTATTTGACAAATATTAATGCCCTTAGTTGCATGGCAAAGATTGGCCAACTAGAGAAATGGTTTTAGCTTCCATTAACTATATCGCATCCTATGATATCCAGGTTATGGCAGAGAATATAGGGATCGACTCTTGGGGAAATGGGGGATTGTGGATGTCGATGACTGTTGTAGTTGTGCCAAATTTTTGGTAAACAACTTTACTTCTCACAGACATTGACAATTGATTTTTCCAGAAATCTGTTCAAGTCATGGTGATGCAATGTTTCATGCAGGTGGATTCCGGAAAGGCAGATGGAGAAAGGCTATGTATTACTGGGGGTTCAGCAGGTGGATATACAACCTTAGCTGCACTTGCATTCAGAAACACATTTAAAGCTGGAGCTTCATTGTATGGCGTGAGTGCCTGATTTTTTGACGCAATCTTTTTCCCCCATTGATATCAGCAAAAATCGTCCATTGACCAACAATACGAACTTTGCCTTTCATATCCAATCAGCCAAATAAACTTTTATTGCAAGAGCTTAGAGCATTATTAAAGAAATGCAAGTGTTCTCATCAAGCAGAAAATTAACTTTGAATTTTGTCTTCTTGCGCCATAAACAGGTAGCTGATCTAAACTCGCTGAGAGCAGAAACTCACAAATTTGAATCTCACTACATTGATAAACTTGTTGGTAAGTCAAGTGATGACATTGGTGCGTTAATTTGTTCTGAATTTAAGTACATCCCTTGAATTTGATAGGAGAAGAACTGGTTGAGTGCAGGAAGCGAGAAGGACTATTTTGAGAGGTCACCAATAAATTTTGTTGATAAATTTTCTTGCCCCATAATCTTATTCCAAGGATTGGAGGATAAGGTGAGATAATATTGTCTGTCAGAATGAGTTACTTTACAATTATTTATCTTAGGTTGAGATTGACAAAATCATTGTTTTCAGGTTGTACCCCCTGACCAAGCTAAGAAAATATATCAGGCATTAAAAGAAAAGGGTTTGCCTGTTGCTCTCGTGGAATATGAAGGGGAGCAACATGGTTTCCGGAAGGTATGTACAAATTGTTTATGTATCATCCAACGTGTTATGGTTCTAAATTGTAGTTTTAGGATTTTATGTTTTATTAGTTGTTTTTATTTATTTATTATAAGATTTATTTTGGAGGTTTGGGTTCCGCAAAAATCCTATCAAGCGAGATCGAGGCTCCCTCGACTCAGCCTACCATCTATCTTGATCTATACAAGTTACTGATTTGTAATAACGTGCAAGCAAAAATTATTACAGTAGTAATATAGTATTTTACGCAGGCTGAAAACATCAAGTTCACATTGGAACAACAAATGGTTTTCTTTGCACGACTTGTTGGACACTTCACGGTTGCAGATGAGATTACTCCAATCAGAATTGATAACTTTGACTAAGCAGTAAGCACTTGGCACAGTGGTATATTATTCTACTTCTCAGGGCACTCCTATAAGGAAGTTATAGGTTCGCTTGTTTAAGAGTTGGCGATGCCATTTGATACGGTCAATAATCGAAGTTTTCAGGAGTTTTTTCATTGGTGTCATGTCTGAGCTTTAAATAAGATTGAAATTTTGGGCGCTAATCAATAGAATACAGTTGCTTTCGGTGCGTAACTTCCAACTTTAATGTAACGTAGGATTTTTCAATAAAATGAATAGTACTTTTTGATGAATTTAAGGTGGAACTCATCCTATATGTTGCTATCTTTCACTTAATCTTAACGTGACTAGGCACCAAGAGGTGTTAATGGTATGGGATCTTAGGCTGTGTAGGTGAGACGTGCATTTAGAAATATGTGAATTGGTTTTTTTATTTTTTTAATTTTTATTTTATTTTAAATATAATATCCTATATGCCTTTTATTTTAATTTAATGTAATTTATCATACTTAATATTCAGAAATAAACATTACCAGTACGGGAGTACCTATTGCAGAAAGCTTCTCAATTGATTTTGCATGTGGTGACGGGTTGTACGTGTTCAAGTGCATGTTCTAGGTGTGGGTTAAAAAAAAAATAATCCTCAATTTGCCTGTCTTTTTTCTTTGGGAAGAGGGTGTTTGCTTCAGATGGGAAAAATTCCAAATGCACTAAGCAACACTTTATACCCCATTATTTTTTTTTCTTTTTAAAAAACAACTTTTTATACACATTTTGTGTATGTACCTTGATCGTAAAGTTTGTCTCATGTATAGACTAATTTTCTGATTTTTTATCTCTTTCCTGTGTGGTTTTTAGGATTATTGATTGAATCGGCAAAACATTAATGATGGTAAATTTTTGGTGACCCTGTGGAAGTATCACCCCTCCATCTATGAGGGAATATTCGATTCTCTTTTTCACATGACGACGTTTGTGAAATTTCATTATGGAATTTCTATTTACACATTACCAGTTGCAAAACAAATGGAGGGACTTTGGAATCTATAATTCCATCTCAAGAAAACCAATTAGCAGTCAATTTATAAAAAAAAAAAAAAAAAATGTTAAAGAAACCTTTGAGAAATTAGATGAAGATTAAAAACATTTGTTAATTTCCTTTTTCCACAAGCAGGAACTAGCTTTTTTTTTTTTGTTCTTCTAAAAAGTCCTCTTACAGGTTTTCTTTTTAAGTGAAATCCTGGCACATAAGAAATGGTCGCGTGGCATTTTGGCATCCAACTATCATTTCACATATGTAGCCTTCCTTAGCTAGTTTTTGCTTCCATAAAAATGTTGACAAATGTTTTTAATCTCCATCTACCACCTCCTTTTCATTTATTTTAGTTTTTAAGGTGTTATTTATTTTTTATGCTTAAATATAAAATACGTGAACATCTAGAAGTATTTTTTTTTTTTTTAATTTGTGGAAATAGATAGTAGTTTCAATTACGTTTTTATACATTCATTTTAAATTGTATAAACAATATATAATTTTGAAAGTCATGTAAAATGCTTACCCCTGGCGTATTTGGACTTTCTAGATGCTTTATCGTTGAACTCAGGATAAGCGAAAACGAAAAGTCAACAATGAACAACAAATTATGGATCTTTTACGTATGTATTTATTTATTTATTTTTTGGCGGTGTATGTGTCTTTCAACGCTCTGATTAAATATAATTATTTTTGTTTGTATGGTACAAGAGGTATCATTTTGTGCTTGTCGGTTATAACCATAATATTGTGTGAGCCGGTAAAGCCCTTGTGTAATAACTCGATTAAAATAAGCGACTGTTTGACGATTACGACAGAATAATGATAATGATGATGATAAATAGCTATTAACCACATTTTGTATTTAATTTAGTCCACCACATATAATATTAGATATTATAGTTAAACACGCTGAATGTTACACACTCATGAATGATGTTATAAAGAAATAGAAAAAAATTACATTTACCATACTTATACGACTCCGGACTTAAAAGACTTTACCTATATTTTAGTACATTAATATTATTGCCACATTTTTTTTTTTTTTTGGTCTCTTATGAAACTGTTGGTATTTTTTCAGACTTTTTTTTTTTTTTTTCAATTACGAGATCGTTGTTCTACATTTTCTGAAAACTGCTTCTGTCAGTTATTGTTGTTCTGTTGTTCAGACCACAGGGAGATTCTTGTTTGAGCTTAGAGATAATAGTATAGGACTTGATAAAAATAATAAATAAATACAAACACAAAAAATTGTCTTGCATTAGTGCTTATATATTCTCATAAACATTACAAATTATCGAAATGAAACAAATAAAGAATTAACGTTTTCATAAAAGAAACTAACGCGCTTGATCCAAGTGTGTGTGCTCTTTTTTTTAGCTATATACACCACAATCAAGCAAAACTCCTAAAATATACGAATCCTTTACTCTGTAAATACAAAACGAAACCAAATTTACATTTAAAACAAATTAAATCTACTTTCTCCATCAACACCAACTGAGATTAACGATTGAGTTTAATTCATCAAAACAATCCCGATCATCATCATGATGATGAACGTGTGAGAGAGCCAAAGCCATTGGCCAAAGAATGAAGTGCCAAAATCCCTCGCTTGTACGGCAAGAAAGTCTTCTTCTTCAGATCCTCCGACGCCGCCTTGTTCGCCGTGTAATGCCGCTCGTGAGCCGACACCGCAGGCGCCCCTTTCCTCCTCGCCCCCGTCGTTGACTCGGCCGACCGGAAGCTCCCGCTCTTCATCGCCACGTCCTCATAATGTTTCTTGCCGTACAAGGCATAGTACTTCCTCAACGGGTCCTTGTCTGTCGCCCGTCCCTCCGACGCGCTTCGGAACAGCAAGAAATCCCTCAATCTCCATTTCCTCGACGACGAAGAAGACGACCCTTTCGATGACGATGATGAAGAATGTTTCGAAATCGTAGCTGAATTTTGCTGCTTAGTATTATTATTATTATTATTAGCAACCTTCTGTTGTGGTGGTTGTTGTTGTTGATCTTGGTTATCTTGATCTTCCCATGGATACTGCGAGACTCTCAAAGGCGAGAGCGATCTCGCCGCTCTCCGCCCCGAATTCGATCCCGACAAACCCGCCGCGGCAGAAGTACTAATTCTCTCTCTTCCCCTTTCCCTCTCCGTTTTCTTTTTCGACTTGCTCGGCGATCTCGGAGACCTAACACTCGGCGGGGGCTTGAGAGGCTTGATCTTCCCACCGTCGAAGAGCTCGTCGGCAGAGAGAGAAGCTCTCTCCAAGTCCTTACTGAATTCGAATGCGAAATCATCGACGTCATCGTCGCCATCGCCGTCATCGTTGATCTTCATCACTTTAGGGCTGCCGGGATGGAACTCCCACTCATAAGGAACCGCCGGAGGGGATCTAGTTCTATAAATATCGGTGGAGAATTCCTCCTCGAAGGCTCGGTAGAAGTCGGACATGCGGGACGGGCTCGTCGGCGCGCTGAAGAAGTAGTCGCCGAAGCGCTTCGGCGTCGGCGGCGCGGTCGAGTAAGGCGTTGTCATCGCACTGCTCGTGGTGAAGTCGAAATCTCGTAGTGGTGGTGGTATCACGACCTCCATGATTGATTGAGATTCAATAACTTTCAATTTCCCTTCAAGACTGAAATTTATCTCTCTTTTTAGGAGTTTGGATAACTTTTTGGTTGGTGACTTAGGAGATATATGTGTGTGTGTATATATATATATATTTATATATGGACAAGAGTGAGAGGTTTGTGAGAGAGAGTGAGTTATATATATATAAAGGGGAAGGTGAAATAGCTAGGAAGGTGATTAAAAATAAGGACAAAAAGAATAAGCGGTAGAGAATTATTGACCACGCAGAGTCATAGGATATAGAAGCCGCCTTCTAATACTTTTTTTTAATAGCCTTATTTGTCTCTGCAATTCAGGTCTAATTTTTATTGTTACTCCAAGCTATATTATTACATGGCTCACATGGAGATTGTTTAATCATGTTCTTTTGTTTATTCAATTTTTGTTTGTTTGTTAATTATGTGTATTTTTTGCTTGGTATGCAAGCTGGTGAGCATTGACGTGGATGTATACGAAAACAGAGAGTAAAAATAAAAAATAAAAAAATGAAGAAGCATGCGTTCCCATTGGATATATCTACTTTGGTGATGTATGACTATATCAACTATCCTTGGTGAATTAATGCTTCTAGATTTTGGATTTTGTTGAATTGATATATATATATATATATATATTTTTTTTTTTTTTTAATGTTTGATTACATGACATGATATAATATTTTAAAATGTAAGACATGCTGAGAAGGAATATCAACGCAAGAAGCCTCATCTTACAATATATATATATATATATATATATATAATAGATGTATATATTTGACATAAATTATTGATTTTCTAGAATCACAAAACGTTGGACACATCTCTGCTAGAGATAATACTAATTCAAAAAAATAATGAAAGGTCAAAAAAGGGCAAAAAAAGAGTGGGGTAAGCAATGCAATCAGCAGTACTGGCTGTTCCCTTCCCCACAAAGGCTTTGATTTGAATACAAGCATGCATGCAGTCAACGAGGCCATTTGTCTCACCTGATCATAGTCAACAATAATAACTATATATGATTCACTTTTGAATAGAATAATTACTGTGAGTTTGAGATGTGCCAAACCAAATCAGAAAGAAAAGGAGAATGTGGCCCTCGTTGTTTTACTTGTGTATGTAGAAGAGTACAGCAATTGAGACGTAAAATAGTAAAATAAAGAGTGGGGAATTAGTAAAAACAAGTTGTTTTTTTTTTTTTTTTTTTTTTTTTTTTTTTGTTGGGAGATGATGGAGAAGTAGAATTCAAGGCTAACAAGCCTGGACTACTTGAATAATTATGGTTGCCCATAACTTTTGGGAGGGGAAGTAATATGTTGGGTAGTCACGAAGGAGGATAGAGACGTGGACTTATTTTACATCTTTATTTTTTGTTAAAAAAAAAAATTGCAACTTCAGATTAGTTGTTGTGTACCAACTTCAGATTAGTTGGTGACTTATGGAGTAAGTACCAAAAAAAAAAATATTGTTCTAATATTTGATAAGCCGTAACTTTAAACCATCATATTACGTCCTAATTATATCTGCTATTTATTTCATTCTCTCATATTTCAATTTTTGGAAGCCCAAGTATCCCAAAAACCAAGTTCGGATCTATTTGCAGGCATAATAATGACAATGATGTTATATTCTTTCTAAATCCTATTTTTGGGTTAGAAGTAATAAATATGGAAGAACAGATTTTCTTTGTGGTCCAATATATCTTGTAGGGATAATATCTAGTTCTTTCAGTTGCTGAAGAGCAACTTCACCTGCTTTTTTGTTTTTCGATTTTCTCCGACTTTAACTTTCCTTTTGATTTATAAATCCCCCTTTGAAACAATTCTGCAGATTTTTAAGAAGGGATACACATGCTGGCTAAATTACATTGCAATGTTGTTCCTTTATATCTAGATTAGATGAAGGAAAATTACAATCCCAAATTGACTTTCTATAAAGGTGACTATTTTACAATAAAACTTTAAGGGATTATGAAAGTCTAAAATTAAAGCGTGCTTGACAAACATCATACTTTCACTTTCAAATATGATCCCAAAATGACAGGGGGGAAAAAAGGTCCAAATCCATTCATATTACTTCTAAATTCATTATTATTAATCTATTATAAATATCTGAGATATTAAGGATATGTCAAATTATGTTTATATCTAAGCAAAACAAATACAATCCCAAATTCAACCAAAAAAAAAAAAAAATCCCAAATCGACGTCAAATTTGAAAATTATTATATTAGTTTTCTGCACGCATTGACATTATTCTAACTAATTGCTAAGATATTTGTACTTATTTGCCATATATTTACAACTAACTATTAACACACTAACATATTAATTAACATGTGACTGAATTAATTGCTTGTCAAACTTATTCACGACTTCTAGATAGGCTCTATTTTTTTTCCTTTTATTGGGAGTAAGATAATTAGACTTTAGTTGAAGCATTATGGTCTGAAGATGATCATGACTTTCAATATTTCGGTCGCAGGTGATTAGTTGGTGCCTTTCGGCCGCAGATGACATTTAAAATTACTAATGAGGCAGCCACAAACCTCAAGTTGGTGTACAACTTTTTTGCTTTTAAAGAAGATGAGTGCTAAATACAACTTCATTACAAACTCTTTTTAAATGTTAATCTATTTTTTTAACATGTGTCATCTCACTTTTTAAAAATAAACAAACTTAATAACGTCATTTCTTTTTAACTATAATTACAAGAGTGCCACTTTCTCTTTAATTGTATTTGTATACTTTTCATGTAGGAACTATTTACAAATACTTCAATTAAAAGAGTGCCACTTTCTCTTTAATTCTATACTTTTCATGTAGTTAGGAACTATTTACAAATATTTGTGTTTACTTTTTTGCACTTATAATTTAAAATATTGAAACCTTATTTTTCACCTGATATTTACAACGTTAGAATTCAGTTCTATGCAAACAGTGAAAATTCCAATGTCGATTAACATTAAATTAAAACAAGTATTTTTTTTTTTTTTTTACTAATATGTATAAAGAAACGAAACGTTATCATTACTAATATACATATATAGAAAACGTTAATATTTATATCTAGATATAGATGTATATGATATGTATATATAACATAATAACATGTATATGTAATCGTAACTGCCGTTTTTGTCTTATTTTATATATTATATGACGTAGATATATACATATATAAATATATTTAATCTGTAAACTACGACCATAATACGTAATATAATTAATTTATTATATATATGTATGTTATATATATACAAATATACCTTTTTTTCCTTTGAAAGACATATAGATATACCTTTTTTATTGTTAAACAACAGACACGTAATCCTTTCAACAAAAAAAGAAAAAGAAAAGAACAGCAAATACGTAATATAATCTCGTAAACAATAGATAAAAAACGTAAATTGAAATTTGTAAATAATAGGTGCAAAAAGTATTCTATGTTTTCTGGCTAAAAAAAAAATTATTTTTCTAGTAGTCTGTTTTGTCGGTAGTCTCAACTTTTTTATCGTTAAATTTAATCAAAATCACATTAAATTAAAAAAATATATAAAATATATATTCTGATATAAATCTAACGGTTAAAAAATAAAAAATTATCGATAATTTATTTTACAGCGACTAGATAGAAAATTCCAAAAAAAAAAAAAAAAAAAAGCTGCACAAAATGTGATTGTAATTCTAGGCTTAGTTCTTAAAAAAGGGTGGCACTTATGTAATTATGGTAAAAAAAAGTGAATTGTTATTAAGTTTGTTCGTTTTAAAAAATGAGATGACACATATTAAAAAATTATAATTGTAATGGAGTTTGTATTTCTTTTTTTTTTTTTTTAAATGTTTAATCTCCCCTAAAAAAAATGTTTTTTTTTATAGTTTTGTAGAGTCCATATCTGCTATCCCCCAAGCTGTCTCTCCACTAAAATTTTGACACCTCAAAAAAATTTCACATCAGCTTGTATTCATTGACCTGAACAAACAGTGGCAAACGGAGAATTTTAATTGGTGGTACCGAGGAATTGTCATGAACTCATTAATTACTTGCTCTTTTCATCTTGTATTCTTCTCTTTCTTTTCTTCTTTCTGTTTTTTCAACTCCAAAGCGTATTACCAGTAACCAGTTACAGAAGCTTCTGATCCACCATTAAAAAAAAAAAAAGAAAATACTGAACAGAAACTCTTCCACCAAATTTTGATTCATGTTCTCTTGTCAATTGAGCCACATATATTCATGCTTAAATTTTATCTAGGAAAAGCTATTTCAGCCGAAACAGAGTTTAATAACCCACGAAGACATCATTTTTGAAATAGGTTCCATAGTCTCCATAGAAACCGAGTTTGTTCGAGATTCCTCAATAAGCAAGAGAAAATCAGTTCGACCCACAAAGTTTCAGTGCCTCCTCTTGGGGGGTTTTTCCGCAACGATTGAGATCCAACTTTTGGACGAAGTGGAAGAAGAATTGGTGCGGAGATTGAACGTTGGAGTTGCACTTTTGATCTTGAAGAGGTTGTGAGAAAGAAAGAAGATCCGGTTTTTTTTTTTTTTTTTTTTTTTTTTTTTTTTTTTTTTTTTTTATTTAAAAAAAAAAAATTCATCGAAGTTAAAAAAAATGAAAAAAAAAAGGCGAACCCATCATCAGAGAAATGACGTGAATAGCTAAATGGGACAGTTGTCTACCAAATGTTAATGGAAACACTCTTTTTGTTTCTGTTTCGTTAACGGCGTTTAGGGAGGTTTTAACAAGAGTTGATGTGTAAATTTTTATTGAGGTGTGAAAATTTAAATGAACGTTTATAGTATTTGATTCTGAATTATAATTTATAGTTCTGTACAGTATTTTTTTTTACAAAAAATATACATAAAATAAGAATAATTTTGAATCATTATTTTAAATACATAAATTAAACGTCACCGAAGGAACAGCTTTTGGGACAACTAAATTGGGATAGTAAATATGAGTTCAATTTTGTATAAGCGTATTATTTATATAATTTATAAATAATTAAGGGGTTGTTCGGCAGCCCTATTTTTTGAGTTAAAAACTCAAAAAAAAAAAATAACTCGTTACAATTTTATTTAAGTTCATGTTCTTTTAAGTTTGAACTCGAGTTTAAACTCGAGT